AGTCCAAAATCAGACTCCCTTCTGCATAGAAACCAATCAGCTTCTAACCTCAGCTTGTTCAATGAAGCTTTGGCAATGAAACCTGGAAGCTGATTGGTTTCTATGCAGAAGTGAATCTGATTTTGCACTCTCCAGCTTTAGTAAAATAAACCCCAATCTGTCACCGACCGTGGACCTCGGACACGATCAATGACAGATCTGTGTGCCGGCCCCATTGCCAGTACCATGTGACCTGCTGTGACCAATCACAGCAGGTCAGATGACAGTTATATACAATGGATGGCTTCCTTTCATGCCATCCATTGTATACAAGTGTGTTTAGCTGTGAATGGTCACAGCTTTCACATGCACAAGCTGAGCCAATCACAGCCTAGCTGTGTCATGTGATTAACCATGGCCAAATCACAGCTAATCACAAAAAAAAACCCTGAATGAATCGATTCCATTCAGTTAAATGCTTACTTATAGCAAAGTAATTATTTGCTATAAGCAAATTGTGTAAAAAAAATAAATAAAAACAAATACTGATCACTTCCCCAAAGTAGTACAATGTTACTATGGTAAAATTATACTACTTTGGTCATAGTGAAATATGAAACAAAATATCTTAAAAAAGAAAAAATGTAATAAAAAATTAAAAATAATTTAACAAAAAAACTATCAAATTTTTTTTTTTCGTACTGTCACCAGTCAGTGTCCCTGATCACCGCCATGCCAGTTATATGATGACACTGTACTGCACTGGTGACAGTATGTAAAAAAAAAAAAATAGTAAAAATAATTTTTTTAATTTCTTCCAAAAAAATTATGACAAAAAAATTACAACTACAAAAAACTCACCATGCCTCTTATGAAATACGTCGGACTGTCTACTTTGCAAAAAGGGGTAATTTGGGGGATATCTGTACTGTTCTGACATTCTTGGACCTCAAGAAATTAGATTGGCTGTCAGTACTTCAGATTGATTGATCAATATTCAGATCTATACCATAGTTTGTGAACTGTATAACTTTCCTACAGACTAAATAATAAATACTAATTTGGGTTATTTTCACCAAAGAAATGTGAACCTTTGGACTTAATAAAACTGGTTGACCATCACTTTTAGTAGAATATACAACTTGGCCTAAATTTATGAAGAACAATTATTTATTTGCAAACTTTTATAACAGAAACAAAGAAAAACGTGTTTTTTTTCAAAATTTTCAGTCTTTTTTTGTTAATTTAGCAAAATAATAAAAAACCCCAGTGGTGATTAAATACCACCAAAAGAAAGCTCTAGTTGTGCGAAGAAAATGATAACATTTTACTTTGGGTACAGTGTTGTATGACCGCACAACTGTCATTCAAAATGTGAGAGCGCTGAAACCTGAAAATCGGCCTTTACTGCCTGTACAGACTGATTTTACTGTTGTAGGTTTAGTAACACTTCAACTCGTGGTAGCAGTGAACCCAAACCTCATGCCTAGTGGCCATATATGGTTCCATCTTATTGGCCCTATGTTGATCCTTATTGTATGATGTGTCACATCAGAGCAATGTGATTAATGATGCTTTAGAGATCACTCTGCATCTTATTGGCCCCTATATGATCCTCAGACAATGTTCACATAGAGCAACCCTAGGGGTGATAATGAGGCTTAAGATCACTGCAAAAAACTCTTTTTTAGCAAACAGAAAGGGGTCCAAACACCCTAAAGTGTGACCAGTGCAGCACCTAGGGCCAACAGTCACCCAAAGAACTTTCTCTGTGTCTCTTGCGGGGTGCCCTGGACTCCCAGGCTGCAATTGCCATGTTTTTTAACGGTGATGCAGTGCTTATTCCATTTGCACTGCAGTTGCTGCTTCTGCCACCTCTCAGGCCTCAAATACAGGCAGCTGCAGTTTAGAGTGAAGAAGGCTTTCTCCTCACTGTGAACTGCCTGGTCTCGTGAGTGGGTTTCTTCGAGGGGGAGAGCTAAACTTGGAGGACATTTGTACTGGGGGAGATATGTTGTTTTAGGGGGTATCTGTACTGGAGGGAGATCTGTACTGCGGGGAATTTGGTTTGGGGAAGGAGATAATTTTTTGTTGTACTCAGCTGACCTGTGAATTATACTCTCCTGAACCCTGCACTCTATGTATTAGTGCATTATGCACTTCTGATGCCTGTGCTCATTATGTATGCACTATGATCCCTGCGCTCCTTGCGTTATGTGATTGCTGTGTACTGAGCCACCATTAGACAGCTAGATACACAGGCACACTGTACCCAGTCGATATGAGCAGCTGGGTACCATGAGATTGCTGTGAATGGTAATCACAGCTATCACATGGTGTTGTTTACAGTGCTGATCCCTCCCCTTCCCATTACAACAGAGGAAGGAGAGACATCGAGCATTTGTGAATGGGCACAGAATGAATGGATCAGCAGCTGCATCCATTTATTCTGTTACAGTGACACAAAGAACCTTTTTTAACCCTTTCCTCTCCTACACATACTAGTTATATTGCCGTCTTTAGTAACCTGTAATATTAACCCCTCACCTCTCTTATCCTGCCCCTTTGAACATTAACCCCTTCATCTTCATCCTGCCACTGTATGTGACCAGTATATGGGAGGAATTGTGCCCCATCATTAGCTTCATTGATAGGAATTGTGCCCCATCATAAGAATCATTGGGCCCCATTATTGGTGTCATGGGGAGGAACAGTGCTGTATCATTGGGAGGAACTGTGCCACATCATTGGCATCATTGGGAGGAATTGTGCTCCATCATTGATGTTATTGGCAGGAACTGTGCCCTATTCTTGGTGTAATTGGCAAGAACTGTGCGTCATTGTTGGTGAATGAAATAGTGTCCTAAGGGCCGGATAAAGGCAAGCAAAGGGGCACAGTTTGGAGACCACTGCAATAAAGTATTAAAGTATATCTAAAGACAAAACATACAGTGGGGATCGAAAGTTTGGGCACCCTAACTAAAAATTTGTATTAATGTGCATAAAGAAGCCAAGGAAAGATGGAAAAAATCTCCAAAAGGCATCAAATTACAGATTAGACATTCTTATAATATGTCAACAAAAGTTAGATTTTATTTCCATCATTTACACTTTCAAAATAACAGAAAACAAAAAAATGGCGTCTGCAAAAGTTTGGGCACCCTGCAGAATTTATAGCATGCACTGCCCCCTTTGCAAAGCTGAGACATGCCAGTGTCATGGATTGTTCTCAATCATCGTCTGGGCAGACCAGGTGATGTCAAACTCAAAGGTTTTAAATGCCCAGACTCATCTGACCTTGCCCCAACAATCAGCACCATGGGTTCTTCTAAGCAGTTGTCTAGAAAACTGAAACTGAAAATAGTTGACGCTCACAAAGCTGGAGAAGGCTATAAGAAGATAGCAAAGCGTTTTCAGATGTCAATATCCTCTGTTCGGAATGTAATTAAGAAATGGCAGTCATCAGGAACAGTGGAAGTTAAAGCAACATCTGGAAGACCAAGAAAAATATCAGACAGAACAGCTCGCAGGATTGTGAGAAAAACAATTCAAAACCCACGTTTGACTGCACGATCCCTCCAGAAAGATCTGGCAGACACTGGAGTTGTGGTACACTATTCCACTATAAAGAGATACTTGTACAAATATGGTCTTCATGGAAGAGTCATCAGAAGAAAACCCTCTTCTACGTCCTCACCACAAAAATCATCGTTTGAACTTTGCAAATGAACATATAGACAAGCCTGATGCATTTTGGAAACAAGTTCTGTGGACCGATGAGGTTAAAATTGAACTTTTTGGCTGTAATGAGCAAAGGTATGTTTGGAGAAGAAGGGGCACAGAATTTAATGAAAAGAACCTCTGTCCAACTGTTAAGCATGGGGTTGGATCAATCATGCTTTGGGGTTGTGTTGCAGCCAGTGGCACAGGGAACATCTCACGAGTAGAAGGAAAAATGGATTCAATAAAATTTCAGCAAATTTTGGATGGTAACTTGATGCCATCTGTGAAAAAGTTGAAGTTAAAGAGAGGATGGCTTCTCCAAATGGATAATGATCCTAAACACACCTCGAAATCCACGGGGGGATTACATCAAGAGGCGTAAACTGAAGGTTTTGCCATGGCCTTCACAATCTCCTGACCTCAACATAATTGAAAATCTATGGATAGACCTTAAAAGAGCAGTGCGTGACAGACAGCCCAGAAATCTCAAAGAACTGGAAGACTTTTGTAAGGAAGAATGGGGCAAAGATACCTCAAACAAGAATTGAAAGACTCTTGGCTGGCTACAAAAAGCGTTTACAAGCTGTGATACTTGCCAAAGGGGCAGTACAAGATATTAACTCTGCAGGGTGCCCAAACTTTTGCAGACGCCATTTTTTTGTTTTCTGTTATTTTGAAAGTGTAAATGATGGAAATAAAATCTAACTTTTGTTGACATATTATAAGAATGTTTAATCTGTAATTTGATGCCTTTTGGAGATTTTTCCATCTTTCCTTGGCTTCTTTATGCACATTAACCACTTGCCTACCAGGCACTTATACCCCCTTCCTTACCAGGCCAATTTTCAGCTTTCAGCACTGCCGCACTTTGATTGAAAATTGCGCGGTCATGCAACATTGTACCCATATGAAATTTTGATCATTTTTTTCTCACAAATAGATTTCTTTTGGTGGTATTTAATCGCCACTGGGCGCTTTACTTTTTTGCGCTATAAATACAAAAAGTGCAAAAAATTTGAAAAAAAAAAAGAAAAGTTTCTTTGTTTCTATTATAAAATTTTTCAAACAGGTAATTTTTCTCCTTCACTGATGTGCGTTGATGAGGCAGCACTGATGGGCACTGATAGGCGGCATGATGGGCACTGATAGGCATCACTAAAGGGCACTGATAGGCAGTACTAATGAGGTGTCACGGATAGGCGGCACTGATAGACAGCACTAATGAGGTGTCACGGATAGGCGGCACTAAATATGCAGCACTGATAGGTGGCACTGATAGGTGACACTGATGATGGGTACTGATAGACGGCACTGACTGGCATCACTGCTGGGCACTGACTGGCGGCACTGACTGGCACAACCCCTGGGCACTGACTGGTGGCACTGACTGGCATCACTGGTGGTGGCACTGGTGGGTGGCACTGGTGGGTGGGCACAGGTGGGTGGGCACAGGTGGGTGGGCACAGGTTGGTGGCACTGCTGGGCACAGGTGGGTGGCACTTCTGGGCATAGGTGTGTGACACTGCAGAGTGGCACAGGTGGGTGCACTGCTGGGCACAGGTGGGTGATCTGCTGGGCACAGGTGGGCGGAGCTAGTGGGCGCACTGCTGGGCACAGGTGGACGGAGCTTGCGGGTGGCACTGCTCGGCACCGATCATCAGGGCACTGATCATCAGTGCCCTGATGATCGGTGCCGATCCCCGCTCTGACAACTGCCGGTTCTCGGCAGTACTTTCCTCACGATCTGACAGTGTGAGGAAAGTGCAGCCGAGAACCGGCACTTGCATTTTCCTCTGATCAGCGTGTCATTGGACACCGCTGATCACGTGGTAAAAGGCCGCTGTGATTGGCCTTTTACCACATCACGTGATCAGCTGTGTCCGTAGGGGCGCGCAGGAGAGCGCGTTCTGGGAGGACGTCATATGACGTCCACCCAGAAATGGCCGGCCGCAGTGCAGCCATCATTCGGCTATCTGCGGTCGGCAGGTAGTTAATACAAATTTTTAGCTGGGGTGCCCAAAATTTCGATCCCCACTGTATTTATCTTTGGATTGCATAAGGGGTTAGAAACCCTGTGAGGTTTTTATTGCCATCAATATTCTGGCTTGAGAAATTAATTCTCTCTGTTTGACTAGGTGACCACTTTTAGTGGGATGGAAAGTAAAGGAAATCCAACATTTTGAGTTTTTCATTCAAAACAAAATACAGAGAAAATCTGCCAATGGGGACACTACTTCCCCTGACAATTGCTACCTTTAACTTGGTGTTATATTTACAGGACAGGAAATGAAGGGAAATCTTCTATATACAGATGGCAAGAACAATTTGGCAGGGGCCTCAACAATTCCCTTCACTATCTAAAATGAAAAACGTTTTGACTTTAGTTAACTTTAATACACTTTGCTATAAAACCCTGAAGTATTATTTTATGTTGAGCAAAAAGTTAAAAATAAAATTTGGCCTTAAAATGTGCAGTCACAGTTTTGTAAACACTGTTAGAATATCCTTCACAGAGTGATGTTACAAAACTTAAACTTCTTATTTGAATGCCATATTTCTGTATATAATCATTAATAGTACAGCAATTTGCCTGTTGGGCTTAGTATTTTTGCACTAGCAGTGTTCAGGTGCACAGTGTTGTAAATCTTTCTCTCTTCTTCACTTGCAGAGCTGAAGAGCCCATAACTTAGTCACTGACTTGTTCTTTTTTTTTTTCTTATTACATGCATATTCGCCTGAGGCCAACAAGAGCTGATATAATAATTGGCTCACACAGCCATCTGCCTGCCTTATTTCAACTGATGTAATCTCGGATCTATTTCAACATGCTTTTTTTTTTCTACCTGAATCCTCTCCATTCCTGACAAGTTGTCTGATCTAATACCTGGGCTACACCAGAAGCAGCAGCACGCTGATGTGCTTCACTAGGAAGGTAAGAGGAGACAACTTACATCTTCCACCGGCATTCTAGAACTCATGCGTGAAAGCCAAAGAAAGCAAGGAGCACAAGTCCTTCAACACAGTCCATCTATTTAATGCCCAAGACAGCCACAGTGACATTCCCAACTGGAATACAGAAGTGATACTGGGTTTCTCTTCTTTTTACTTCCTGCAAGACTCATCGTCAAGTTTGTTGAAGTGCATACAATTTTCTGAGGACTGTACTACATATTCAGGTATTCGTTCATTCACTCATGCATGCTCATTCAATGTACTCCATTTATTCTATATTGTTTTTCTATTTTATTTTATATTTTTTTAAAAATTAACATTACTCTATGTTTATAAATTATTTAATCCTACAGAGTCTTTAGAATTATTTAGAGTAGTTAAAACATTTGAACTTTTAAATGATTCATTTTCATTTTGAAATTATTATTAAATACAGATTTCTAAAAAAAAGAAATAACAAAAAAACAAATTTTACATTTATATAAAAGAAATAAAAACAAGGCTTCATGTTATATTTATCCTTATTTTTAATATATAAAATAGGTAGCAAATGTTCTGCACATTAAAAAGCTTTAGTAAGGGATGCAGTAGATTTCTATAATGCTTAGAATAGTTTGATTTTTAGCAATTCAGTATTTTAATCTTGTCAGAAGCAACGAAGGCTAAAAATTCAGACGAAGAATGGAAACTTTTTTAACTGAAAAAAACTATTTATTACAGGATATTCAAATATTCATGCATCTGTTCTCTAAGCAGTCAAACATCGATTCATATTTTTGGTACCCACTAATGAAGGCAACCTCATTTATCACAGAATCTGGTTAACAGGACTGTCTAAGTTACTCTTGCAAGCAAATTTTTTTATTTTTTAACTCGCACCCAAATATAAAGGGTCATCTAAATTGCTGATTTAGATAATGCAGATCATTTGATAAACAAGGCTCAAGGTGCCTTACCTGCAGATGAAATATGTTGACATGGGCATCTCACAGTAGAGTAAAAAATTAATATTCGTACACAGAAGTTAACAAACACATGCACTTGCACAGTTTCGCTAATATTTATCCTTGTACATCCTGAAGCAGAAGAAGACTATATTAGAATGATACAAAATGTAAATATTTGAAGGTCATGTTGTAATGTCAGAAGGACAACTGTAACCATTTTTCAGATAAAACACATATTTTTGCCAAAGTGTCTACCTGGCTGGTAAAGTTTCCTTGTTGTCTGACGCTTTAAGTGATTAAATCTAGTTGAACAAAGTGGTCCTTACAAAAATTGGAGATGCTTCACAAAAGTCTGGCGAGGTGGGTTATCATTAAAGAAGAAACCCAGGTTTTTGTTTTGTTTTTAAATGTGGGTCCAAATTGAAATTAGTGGTTGAAATTCCTTTTCTATTGAAAAAAGGATCGCTTTCCTTCAAAATTTGTAAATGTTATCTTTTGTATAGTAGGGCAATATGAACAGTAAAATTAAAATGTTATTTGAATAATTAATGCTTATAAAAATAATATTTATACCATCTAATGCAATGTTCATTGCATTTGAAATTTTGTATTTTTTATTTTCAAAATGTAGGAGTTGATTTCCCACAGGTGTAATTTGCACCCTAGTCTGTAATAAAATTCCCAGGATCTGTGATAAGTGTTTAAGCAGGAAAAAGACATCTTCTTTTGTAACAGAGCCTTAGTCCCTTGTCATCTTAGGACATTGAGGGGTTCATAAATCTGTTTTCCTGACACCACTGAAAATCATTAAGTCTCCTGCCTTGGAGGGCCTTTTAGTAAATGATGTTTTTGCTCCTAGATGAAACATTTTAACCTCAGCTGTTTAATGCAAGCCCAGATGGGTGAAACGTATGTAAATCCTCACCTCTTCATAGCAAAAATAATAAGGGGCTTAAATTAAAATCAAAGTTTATACATTTTTCTGTTAGTACTTACAATTAGCAAAGCATGAAGGTGTCATGATTAGCATGCTAAGTGCTGTTAGAGTTCTAGGTTCAAATGCCACCAAGACATTATTTGCCTAAATTTGATACATGTATTTTGTGTCTTTAGGGGTTCTGCTCCACATGCTCCAGTTTCCTACCACAGGTCAAAAACAGGCTATCAAGTTAAATAACTAAAGCTTTGTAAAACCTATTCCTAGCTTTGGATACAACATGTACGTATTAAAGCTACTGTTGGGTTTAGCTTGCTGTCTCCCACCGGACATATTCACCTTCCCTATTAGTCCTGGTGACCAATGTTACTGGAACAGAAAGTGATGGGAAATCCAAAATTTTTACAGTTGTCATCAGAAAAGAAGGTGAAGGATGATTTTCCAAATGAGTCTCTTGTTTAGGTAACAACTGTCTAAAATAGGACTTCTTCTCAATGATCCTCAGTTCCTGGTACAGGAGGTTTCAATTACTCCCTTTTCTATCAAAAGCTAGAAAAAATATTTTGGCTTGTCTGGCTGTGGACATTAAATTGCAAGCTCCACCGAGGCAGTGATAGATGACAACAGTTGTGTTGCATCTTTACATATAAAGGCTGAAATATTATTTGAAATACTAAGAATGAGCTCTTTGACAGTATCCTTTCTTGTCAGGGTCTAATAGTAAGGCTGTCCAACAGGTAGAGATGTATCCTTAGTAGAACTGCAATTTTCAGAGTATTGTGTCTGTCATATAGCAACATGACAAGGTAGTAGTTCCATGCCAGTTGCAGATATGTAGCCAATCTAACTCTGTTTTAGCTAAATCTACTTAGCTAGACACAGTTGCAGTTGTGTAGTAAAGTATACTTATTTCAGTATGCAGCAGTACTAACCATGGGGGCTGCTTTATAAGCACACTTATATGTATGTTTTCACATCACTTAATACTCCCCATCTGTTACAGAGTGCGTAAGGTGTTAGCAACAAGTGCAGAGTCCCTCTTTAGCAAAGTGTTTAGAGCATAATTGCACTGACAAATGTGCATACATTGGGGTTAATTTACTAAAACTGGAGAGTGCAAAATCTGGTGCAACTCTGGATAGAAACCAATCAGCTTCCAGGTTTTATTGCCAAAGCTTAATTGAACAAGCTAAGGGTAGCAGCTGATTGTTTACCATGCATAGCTCCAGCTGGCTTTACTAAAACTGCTTCAGATTTAGTAAATCTATACCTATGTATTTTGAAACTGTCCCTTTTATGCCTAATATGTCAGATTACACCGCAAGGCTAATTTCATGAAGGTTTTGCCTAATATGTCAGATTACACCGCAAGACTAATTTCCTTGAAGGTTTTGCCTAATATGTCAGATTATACTGCAAGGCTGATTTTCTGAAGGTTTAATTTATGATGCTTTCCTTGGATATTTCAATTTAAAACTCCCCTTAAACTGATGATGACCTTTGTTTAAAGCGAACATAGGTTTGTTGTCACTACAAAAATTAGTGATTTATTAAATCGACAAATAGATGTCAGATGACAAGCTGGATAATGTATCATTCGTGTACACATATGCTATGGACGAGGGGTTCATACACAACTGATATTTTGGTGACTTTGTGATACAGGCCAAAGTACAGTATGTAATATATCCTAATGTAGGATATATGGAAAGTATGTTGGGTCAAATGTATACATCATCGTTCACCAGATTATTCTAAATGCATTCAGCACTTTGAATATTTGACCATGTTGGCTGTCAAGTGGGGATTCCCTTCCGTCACCAGGAGAAAACTGATGCCAGAACCTGTATAGTCCTCTCAAACAGTGTTTTTTTTTTTACTAAAGCTGGTTCACTCAGAATCTTGTGCACTTCTGTATAGAAACCAATCAGCTTCTTGGTTTTATTGCT